ACAGAAGCAATAAATTTATAAATAGGTATTTTATTTTTTGAGATCATAATTACATCATAAACCTTTTCCCTTTCCTCTTTCTCAACCCACTCATATACTTTTCCTTGTTTTATTTCAAATTCATTTGTCAGAAATCCTATTTATATGTAGGTATTTAATTATATGGGTAATGAAAATAAAGCAGACCAATAGGTTTGATTCAGTTAAATGCTTCTCCACAACAAAAGAAATGCTTATAAAGAATGGGGTGACTGTATTTGCCAGGTTTCCTTCAACATGAGATGAATATTTAGAGTGTATAAAAAAATCAACTATGTTAATCAGCAAAGGTAGTGAAAATGGCTGACATAAACACACACACACACACACACACACACACACACACCTTTATTCTTGATGAAATCCAAATCCAATCTGTATGATATTCTCTCTCATCTAACACATAATTGATATCATCAAGAAAAGTAAATAACGTATTACAGGAAGCCTGTTATTGAAATAAAACATCTGAACTACTGCAGGACATGTAATAATGGAAATTAAGAGAGAATACTCTATGTGGAATGCATTCAAATAGAAGGATACTCTCTCAGCCTAGACACATGGGGGACTGCATAGGCCCTGCTCCAAATGATATGACAGTCTTTGAAGATCCTCCATGGAAGACCTCACCTTCCCTGGGGATCAGAAAGAGGATGGAATAAGGGCTCCTTTGGTGGGGGAAGTGGAGGAGGAGAGGGAGAGAGAACTGGGATTGACATGTAAAACAAACTTGTTTTAATTTAAATTAAAAAAGAAGAAAGAATACTAAAAAATTTGTAATGGATAACAACATTTCTGGATGTTAGATACATAAAGAAATCAGTCCTAGCATATAACATAGAGAGACATACCCATGAGTGTTTCAGCACTATTCACAATAATAAATTATGGAATTAGCATAGGATCTCATCAAAGAATGAAGGGCTAAAATGCAATATATATGAACGATAGAGAATTATTTAGTTAAAAGAAGAAAGAAATCATTTCCTTACAGGAAAATTCTTTTCACTCAATATTGTCATGGTAGTATATATAAACAAGAAACAGAAGAAAAGACACTGCATGTTTTGTACCATATGTGGGATAAAACAACTCAAAGTACCAGGGGTGTACTGAAAAATAATAAGGAGGACAGATTTGAGGCAATTTTAAGGGGGGTGCTTTTAAGAATCATACTAAACATGAGTTCATTCAAATGTTACAATGAAACATATTTCTGTATAATTACTACATATTAATCATAACACTAAAAGATAGTAAGTTCACTTAAACACCCAAAATTAAAGGTTGGAGATAGGAAACTAGATTTTAAAAGAGGGTGATTGTTTCTGATAAGTAACTGCAGGTTATATGTATACATGCTTATGTTGACTTTCACTTCTGACCACTGAAGGCAATGCATGAAAGTGATAGCATGTACCTGTGTGCATGTAAAACTCTCATACACACAAAAAATAAATAAATACATATTTTAAGAGACTTCTCAACAGAGGATTATATCCTTAGCCATCAGGGAAATGCATATCAAATCAACTCTGAGATACCATCTTACTCCTATCAGAATGGCTAAAATCAAAAACACCAATGGCAATTTATGTTGGAGAGGATGTGGAGAAAGGGGAACACTCCTCCACTGCTGGTGGGAGTGCCAACTCATACAGCCACTTTGGAAATCAGTATGGTGGTTCTTCAGGAAAATGAGAAACAGTCTACTTCAAGACCCAGCAATTCCACTCTTAGGCATATACCAAAAAGATGCACATTCATACAACAAGGACATCTGTTCAGCTGTTTTCATAGCAGAATTATTTTTAATTGCTGCGCCTGCTGCGCAGCCTGTATCCCAGAATGTGGCAAGGGTGTCGGGATTGATGACACAGAGACTGGTCGGTTGCGTTAAGAAATCTTTATGCTCCCCAAGTCGGTTTAAGAGAACTTCCCAAGAAAACACTTCCCTTCAGAAAAACTTCTGCCATACATACACGCACACATTTCCCACACATCCTCTTTCTCCTCCTGGCTGGTGGTTAAATCTCTGACACCAAAATCGGTGACAGCAGGGAGCAGGAAGTGGCTAGCCATTGGGAAGATGAAAGTCAGGGTGTTTCAGTGAGCGAGCCCTTATCTGGAACTTATGGCTCCTGGAAATATTTCTTAGGGCACTGGATAGTTTTCAGTAAATATGTTTTCAGTAAGCATTGTTTCGCAGCTGCCTGCTCCCAGGCTGATGGAGGAGTGGGTTTCTGGCCAGGGTCTGTGGTCCCCACATGTAATGGCCAGAACCTGGAAGCAACCTAGATATCCCTCAACTGAATAATGGATGGAGAAAATGTGGTACATTTACATAATGGAGTACTACTCAGCAGAAAAAAAAACAATGGAATCTTGAAATTCACAGGCAAATGGATAGCACTAGAAGAAGCCATCCTGAGCAAGGTAACCCAGTCACAAAAAGACAAACATGGTATGTACTCTCTCATATATGGATTTTAGACATAGAGAAAAGGAGTACCAGCCCACAATCCACATTACCAGAGAAACTAGGAAAGAAGGAGAGTCCCAAGAGAAGAACACATGCTTCCCTACCCCAAAGAAGGGGGACAAGAACCCCTGAGAAAATTGAGAGCATGTGAGAAGAGAGGAGGGAGGTGGGAAGGGCAGATGGGGAGAATTGGGCTGGGGAGGAAAACGGGAGGACTGAGACAGGGGTGGAATAGGGGAGGGCAAGATAGGAGATGCCTTAATAGAGGGTGCCAGTATAGGTTTGGAGAGAGGTCTGGCACAGGGGAAATGTTAGAGGATCCATAGGAATGACCCCAACTAAAATCTAAACAGTGGTAGAGAGGCTGCCTTTGATTCCCTTCCCCTATAATGGTTGCCATTCCTAGAGATTTCATTCAGTAGCTGATCAAAGCAGAGACTGGCACCCATAGCTAAACACTGAGCCATAATCCTGGAATCCAGTTATAGAGAGGGAAGTCTGATGAGCAAAGGAGCCACGACATTGCTGGAGAAACCCACAGGAACAGTTGACCTTACCTAGTGAGAGCACCAGAGATCCTAGTCATCCAGTGTTGAACTGAACGAAGTCCTCTGGATGTGGGTGGCAGCTAGGAGGCCAGATCAGTCTATGGGACCTCTAATAGTGGAGTCAGTGTTTATCCCTATGTCACAAATTGACTTTGGGACCCCATTCCCTATGGAGGGATACTATTGCAGCCCAGATATGGAAAGGAGGTCCCCTCCCCCAAATGACATGATAGACTTTGGTGGTCCCAAGTGGAGGGCCTCACTGTCCCTGGGGAGTCGGGGGTGGGTTTGGAAAGTCAGTGGAGAGCATGTGAGAATGGGAGGGAGAGGGAATGTGGGGATTGATATGTGAATAAGAGTGCTTCTTATATATATATATATATATACATATATATTTATTTATAATACATATTATATATATACATAGTGCCAGTATTTGATATTTGAGTCACTAGAAGGTCAAATGATCACTTTAAAGTAAGAATAAATGGGTTTACTCAAAACATCTAAAATCAAAGAGCAAAAAATTACTTTAAACAAACACCCAAGCACTTAAAATTGAATGGGATAGAGAAAAATAAAATAAATATTGTTTATATCACTAAAGTTGTCATATAACATATGGAAATTGTCACTTGGTATCAGATTATAAATTTTCCTCTAAAATATTTGTCCATTTCTCTCAGAAGAAAATATTGTCATTGCATTGTTATTCGACATATTTTGTCACAGTTAATTTTATACATAAAACAGTACTTTCAAATTGTTCTTGACTCTCATCTTAGGAGTTTTCAAATTCTTAAACTGAACATTCTGTTAATATAAGAGATATAGCAAAGAAAGTGTGATTTAGTTGTATACAAGCAGTGTTGCCCCATAGATTTCTTCTTTTTATTTTGAAACTTTCTTAATATTAAATAGCATTAGTCAGTATGATAACCATACAATCCCTTTATTCTTCTTTTTTGCTTTTTGTTTTTTGGTTTTTTTTGAGACTGGGTTTCTCTGTATTGCTTTGGAGCCTGTCCTGAAACTTGCTAGGCCAGGCTGGCCTCAAATTCACAGAGATCTGCCTCCCTCTGCCTCCCGAGTGCCACCAATGCCTGGCAAATTCCTTTATTCTTAAATATTTCTAGGACCTTATATAAAAGACAAAAGCTGAAAGCATGCCGTTTGCCCATACTTTTACTTTGAAAAATTTTCCTATATTGAGTTTCAATATAAATCTGCTCTAACTCCTACTCCTACAGGTATACTCACTCGATGCACAATATAAAAATGAGTCTGCATTTTCAATAATTCTCCAATAAGAGATTAGACTATAGTATTCAGGAATGAGGAATTCTGCAAAAGTTTTATGAAGAGTAGAGGGAAAGCACAGTCACTAAGGCTCTGTACTGTATGTATAAAATACTTATATCCCTCATAAATTCTTCAATTTTATCTTATAAAATAAAGTTAACACACCTAACATAAGAAAGTCAAGCGCATATTACATACACTACAATGTGTATTATATTCAGTAGCCAGTTAATAAAAACACCTTGATCATGAATCACTAGGATTTTCAAGGGACACAGTAAGGCCCAAGAAAGACAATCTGATTCATAGTTTATTACAAAGACAAATGAGAGATATTTTGCCACAAAATACATGGAAAATTCAGTATTATTATATATGACCACTGATAGATCATTTGTTATTTTTAGGATACATTCTGTAATAATAAAGGATATCAATTACTTAGCTAAAACTGCTGAAAGAAGACTTTGCCAATTATATAAAATCAAAGGAAATTTATTTTAAATAAAACACTCCAATATCCTACCAATGATTAGATTTTAAAAAAAATAGAAAGAGGTGGTTATGATTAATGCCACAGAAATTCTAAGTAGCATAACTATAGGGATGGACATATTAATTTTTTATCAGCACATCCTCCTGCTAAAGGTTTTTCTCAGGGCAACTTTAACATCCTTGTTCCTCAAGCTATAGATTAAGGGGTTCATCATAGGAAGCAATATGACATAAAAAATGGAAGACCTTTTTCCCTGATCCATAGGCCCAACTGAGGATTGTTGAAGATACATAAATGCACCTGAACCAAAGAATAGAGAAACAGCTAGTATGTGGGAGATGCAGGTACTAAAGGCTTTAGATCTTCCCTCGGTAAACCTCATTTGAAGGATGTTAGAGAGGATGAAGCCATAAGAGGTAACAATGATGACACTGGGCACATTGATATCTATCCCACCTACAATAATAATCTCAATCTCATTGGCATAAGTGTTGGTGCAGGAGAGCTGCAACAAAGGGAGCAGAGCACAGAAATAGTGGTTGACAGTGTTTCTGTCACAGAAGGTCAGTCTAAGCATCCATCCTGTATGAATCATGGTACCAGAAATTCCCATTATGTATGAACCAAGTATTAGATAAGAACACACCTGGTGGACATAGCAACATTATACAAGAGTGGGTTGCAGATAGCCACATAGCGATCATAGGCCATTGATGACAGGACACAGCATTCACTGACAGCAAAAAAGCAGAAGAAATACAGCTGGGTCATACATTCCACGTAGGAGATAATATTCTTCCTTACAAAGAAGTACATCAGCATTTTGGGTGTAATCACACAGGAATAACAGAGGTCAATGAAGGTCACGTTTAAGAGGAAAAAGTACATGGGAGTATGGAGGTGACAATTCAGTGCAATAATGGTTATCAAATTCATGTTCTCTAGTATTGTGGTTGTATATATTAACAGAAAGAGTAAGAACAAAGGTAATTGTAGATCAGGGTCATTTGTCAATCCCTGTAGAATGAATTCAGTCACCAAAGAAGTGTTTTCCAGACCCATTCTTCTTTAATATAACCTGCAACACAAAAAAAATCATAACATTATAAGAACCCTCAAAATCATTTACAGCTTCTATCACACTTGTAGATAGTGAAAATGTGTTTACCTATTTTAATTCACAGAATTTGCTGTTCATGCTATCATGATGTAGAATGATATTTTTCCCAGATTAGTATGTTACAGACAAAATAGAGTAAATTCAACTACCCACTGTCTAAAATATCATGACCATTTTTGTCATTTGCTTGCAAGACTTCTTGTATATCAATATAAGAGGGGGAAGGACCAGAAAACATTTCCCATCCTTGATTTCATTTTGTCATTGCTTAAGACATGGGACAATACATGAAAAACCTGTGACAACTTTGATTTACTGCATCCAAGTTGTCACAGGTGGCCTCAGGTCCACCAACATTGTTTCAAATATAAGCTTTATATTTTGCCAGAGTTTAATAATGGAAAACCTGTGCTTGCTATAGGAAAACATATTAATCTAGATGTATTTGAAAGATGGCCCTCAATAAGTAATTTACTGGATGTAACATTGTATCACTTTCATCTTCTGAACCTCTCAACACTCCATGTTTTTTCTAAAATATTCTTTGAATTTTATTTTATTCTTAGAATTGCATGAAATGTAATCAAATGACATTCATGAGACTCCTGTACTTCAATGTGAAAGTACTTCACAAACCAATGACATGACACTAAATGGAAACAGTGCATCATTTCTCCTTTGTGTGCAATATAACAGAGTTACATTATTCAAAAGAGCACTGAGTATTCATAACTGGGGCCGGTGGGATTGGAATTCAAGGGCTGCTTGCTAAATTGCAAAATGACTCAAGTGAGGAACATAGTTAAGTCAGGAGAACTAATTTCAACAAATTAAATAAGTTAAGAATTGTGTGTGCTTTGATTTTCTAACAAAAAAATTAATTATCACTACCTGTGTGTACACACCAATGTAGGATGAAGATAAGTGAAGAAACTCCATTTTGGAAAACTTTACAACTAATAACTGGTCAAATTAACTCACAGTTATCATTTTAAATATTGTATCTAATGATGTTAAAGAAAAAAACAAAATAGAAGCATGAAGAAATTTCAAACTACCTCATCACCAAAGGAATAGTATTATTTTATTCCTGCACCTTTGTTGTTTTATATGGTTCAATGCATCTCTGAGCATTTAAATATTTGATTCTAAGAGGACACAACACCAAGTTAATTTTTAATATGTTCTGGAATCACCATTGTCTTGTCATAATTTATCAAATACCCTTTAATCATTTTCAGTGTTATCTTCTTTTTATGCACTTATCACCAGATGAGACAGCAGGAATTTCGTGTAATTTACTAGAAAGATATACTTGGCTACAAACAAAGTAAAAGATTTCTCTATCTTCTCTCAGGGCACAGACATAAGTTATAAAAAATATATGAGGTGATAATGTTTATACCCTGGACCAGAATGTTTCTTTTGTTCACTCGAGACTTAGAATTTAAGAAGTGCATGTAGTTCCCTTTAGGTAGTGTACTTCTGAGCTGGAGCCAAGGTTGAACCCCATCTGACAATAATCTTCATATCTTAAGGGAAATCTATTGTGTAGCTTCCTTTTCTCATTTTTTCCTCCATCCTTAATGGTACTTTCCATAGATTCTGTTCCCAGTATTACCTTATCATTTTTTAACCATAGAGTATAACAAGATATCTAAGGTATTACAAATCATGAGAGTTCCCCAAATCATTTTACAAAAGTAATTTGCTGTTGCTGTGTTTTGTCTTCATGGCTCAAGATGCAGGAAGACCTTGATACCAAGAGTGAGTTCTCCAATTGAGCAACATCCCAAAAACTTCCTAGTCACATTTATAATGTTACATCATTCCTAAATCACTTCAATACTTACATGACATTTGTATTTTAGTCTCCAGTATAGTTCTTATATGTACCACTTTATAGATGAGTCCAACATCGGTACACATTTTAGGAAAAGTATGATACCAAGGAACATACTGATACAGGCTATTTAACTAATTTATTCTTTTTTATAAAAAAAGATCATGTCTTCAGTTGTATTGTTGTGATAAAACAGAAAAGAATCATAAAACTACTTATGACAAATCCATGTAGAATGAAAAACAGTGAAATGTAAGCTATGATTATAAATCTTATTGGCTTTATGAAATAGTCATTTCTGATGTATCTATTATTAGTTTAAAAATCCTATGCCAAATGTATTTTTCATCTCAAAGCAAAGGCTAGCGTATTCATTTGCCAGAGATAACTAGACACAGGAGGGTTTATTTGGAGTAGGTTAGACTGCAATTACTCTCTGAATTCTGATATTAGTTATTTAGGAATGAATGCTTTATGAATATTTTAACATCTGAGAGTTGCCAATGAATTTCCAGTTATTCTGTAACTCTCCATTCTTATTTTCCTTTATTATTTTATTCCCAAAGCATGCGTGATCAAATGTTAGTACTTCTGAACCAATTGATGGGTATTCATTTCTTCACAATTGCTTAATATATTGAGTCGAACTTATTAAACACTGTGTCTACTCCTCTGTTGTAGACTGCAAATCAAATGGTAGGATTACAACTAAAAATTTCTTTGGACTCTGCAGCAAGCTTCAGGAAAGATTTTAGATGCAATCAAGTTCTTGTCTCAAAAGTCATAAAACAGAAGCAAATAATAAAAATAGGAATTGAACAAAAAGTTTCAATTAATTCAGGAATTGTAAACTTACTCTTGTTTTTTAAATAAAACCAAGACATAAGGCGTCATGGACAATTATACCTGATTTATTATTTTAAAATCTATTTTATACAATAAATAATAATTTCCAGCAAATTCTAATAAAATTTATTTGCAGAACCTAAGAGTGCAGGTCAGTGATTTAAGTCTTGGCTAATATACATGGGCCTCTTTCTATTTGTCTATCACTGACAACAACAAAAAGATAACTGTCTATATGAAACTCACAGGTGCTGATGTGGTAACCCTGTGCAAATTCAGGATCAATTTAGCAAGGCAAATCACCTTATTCTAAGGTAGAACACACATATAACATTCAACTTTAAAAAATAACATCTAAATTTGTGAGAAACCACAAAGATATTGTTACATCTCTGATACAGAGGACAAAATTCTTCTGCCAATGATTGATAAGGATTAATTTTCAAAATGTAAATAAAATGTAATAAAATGTAAAATAAATTAATTAACCAATTTTAAAAACCAGAGACTTAGAATGTCTTTGATTCTATTCATTAGAACAGCGGATGTGAAATAGTTCAACATCACTGACCCCAAGTTTTCCTGGAAGTGTGGTGAAGAGGAGGGGTTATTAGAGGGGAAATATGTGAGGAATGTTGCTAGGGAAAATAAACAAAAAATGAACAAAATGAATTTGATAGACAAATAGAAGCAAGCAAATGAAATAACAACATCAGCAACATTAAGATAAACCAAGATACTAGATTAGAAGCACAGAGCCCTTTTTAGAATCTGAGCTGCCTGGAATCAAGGAACTGAGAAATTACCTTTCTGGTGAGGCAGGTGTCTCAGTAGTTTGTTAAGAATAGAGTCTTAGAAACTTTAGTTTAAGTTTATTAAAAACAGAGACTTGGTCTAGACATTAGCCTAAGTCTCTGGTTTATTTATTATTATTATTTCCCATTTTAAATTTAAATTAGAAACAAACTTGCTTCACATGTCAATCCCAGATCCCTCTCCCTCCCCTTCTCCCCCGCCCCTCCCTACCAGGCCTCCCAACACCCCCTCCCCCCTGCCCAATCCCCACTCTGATCCCTAGGGAGGGTGAGGCACTCCATACAGGATCTCCAGAGTTTGTCATTTCATCCAGGGTAGGGTCTAGGCCCTCCTCCAAGAGTCCAGGCTGAGAAAGCATCCCTCATTGTGGGATGGGCAGCCAAAGTCCATTTGCATGCCAGAGATAAATACTACCCAAAGCCCCATAGTTTGCCTAGGCCTTCTGATTGACACCCGCATTCAGGGGGTCTGGATCAGTCCCATGCTGTCCACCCAGCTATCAGTCTGCGGTCTAAGAAGCTCCTCCTTGTTCAGGTCAACTGTTTTTTAAGATACAGCTAGGCTAGCCTGCAACATGGGAACTCACAGTGTCTGGACCAATAACCAAGAGCCTGCATAGGACTGACCTAGGTCCTATGCATATATGACTACTGTATAGCTTGGTCTATTTCTGGGACTCCTGGCAATGGAATTAGAACTGTTCCTGATCCTTGTGCTGGCTCTATAAAACCTCTTCCTTATGCTGTACTTCCTTGCCCAGCCTGAATAGAGAGGGAAGTCCTTAGGTGTATGGCATTTTGATATGCCATGCTTTGCTGATGCTCATAGGAAGCCTGCCCCTTTCTGAGAGAATACAGAAGAGCAGCAGACTGAGGGGGGGGATGGAAGGAAGGTAGGGGGGAGGGAGTGGAGGTGTGGAGGGAGGGGAGGCATTAGGGATGTAAAATAAATTAATTAGTCAATTTTAAAAACCAGAGACTTAGAATGTCTTTGATTCTATTCATTGGAACAGTGGATGTGAAATAGTTCAACATCTCTGACCCCAAGTTTCCTGGAAGTGTGGTGAAGAGGAGGGGTTATTAGAGGGGAAATATGTGAGGAATGTTGCTAGGGAAAATAGACAGGAAATCATGCAAAATAAAAATGTTGGCTGAATTTACCTAATCTGGGAGCTGTAGTTTAGACTCCTAGGCCCTGCCCTGGATGATGACAGATTTTGGAGATCCCCTATGGAAACCCTCATCCTCCCTGGGGAGCGGAGTGGGGATTGGGTAAGGAATTTGGGGGTTGGGTGTCAGGGAGGAGGAGAGGGATAGGGAGCTGGGATTGACATGTGAAGCAAGCTTGTTTCTAATTTAAATAAAAAAGAAAGAGTAAGTCCTGAATGGTAAATTCTTATGGCAAAATAGCATTCTGTAAAATGTTTTATTTAAGCCT